TCTCTATCTATCTGTGTATCTATCTGTGTGTCTATCTATGTATCTGTCTATCTATCTGTCTATCTATCTATCTATCTATCAATCAATCAATCAATCAATCAATCTATCTATCTATCTATCTATTTTCCAACCATCTATATATATATATATATATATTGTTATATATATATATACACACATGCGATTACATATATATATATATATACACACACACGTAAGTTTATGTATGCATATAAGCTTATATATATATATACATACACACACATACCTATAAATATCAAACTTACTAACTAACTAACCACATAAACAACTATATGTATTTATATATACATACATATGTGATCTCTGTTGGTGTTGTGAGGGCTTCAGTCAAGTCTCGGATTTCAGGGTTACGGGTGTTAAGCTTCCCGATGCCAAAGGCTCTGTGAGACTACCTCTACCAAACCCAACCCCCCCAGCCCTGGTCTAAAATCTAAACCCTACTAAACCCTAAACTCTAAACCCTAAACCGTAAGCCCCTACATCAAGCCCTCCTGCTCAAGAGTTCAAGTGCAGCAGATGGCGAGCTGCTCTTCTTCGGCCACATCTGTTCACAATCATTTCCAATCTATATCTTAGCCTGTATGAGCCATCTATACCTATAGCAAAACCTATATCTATATCTACATCTATGTCCATATCCATATCTTCGTCTAAATCTGGATCCATGTCTATACCTGCATCCTTTGTCTATCTATGGTAGAAGCCAGAAAGTTGGAGCATGACTATCCCCATGCCCTTAAGGTAAAGTATAAGGAATCCTAGCACTAGTCATCCTAATTCCATGTTCCGACTTTTGGGGCTCACTGTACCTATTTCTGTTGCGATGTCTTTCGTAAGTCTTTGTATATCTATACTACTGTTTAACATGTATACGCATATATGTGTATGGCCAAGCCAAGCAAGCTTAACATCGTAACTCCTGAACCCGCTGTCTACCAGAAGACCATGCCTAGTACAAGACCGTGTCTAACTCCAAACCCTATCTTCCAGACCCCGTACCACAGAAGCCCCTATCTAACCATAAGCGATCGGCACAGGAATCTTGACAACACGATACCCACGTACACACGGCATTCTTACATACATACGCGCATATCTGCGTACGTACATACACAGATGCACATGCCCAAACATATACGTATGCACATACGAAAGCATACACATGTGCCTATGTATGGACGTGGACATGTACGTCTACATCTGCTAAAGCATAAGGCATATCGAAAAGCATGTGCACCATATATACTATGCAGTATGTTATACACAACATAATATTTACTGTATAGTACAAAATATATAGCCTCAATCTATGGTATATCAGAGCTCCGACCCAAAAGATGCCCGAGGCATCCAGACCGGTTCCTATCCGGTAGCCAGGGCCCCAGTCCGAAAGCTTTCTTCGACGAAGTTGGCACAGAAAGGGTCTTATTACAATGATGATTTTTCTTACTATAATGAGTATAGTTTTTTTTATTACCCATACTATTGTATGAACTATTCTTCTTATTACTGTGGCCATTGCTATTGTTGGTTTCTTTGTAGATAGGGGTCATAGGGGATGTTAATACTAGCTGTCTGACTTGGCGAGCCAGGTGAAGGAAGAGAGCAGGCCCAAACAGTCCCACAAAGTCTTTCGGCCACTGGCCTCCGCATCAGCCTCCCAGTGTGTGCGGGGCCTTGCTAGGGAAAACGCCGTTCTATACTCTTTACCGGCGACCACATATAACTTATGTGTTATCATGTCATGGAAGCCCAATAATTAGAGACGAGAGGTTTTGGATGCAAAAAGCGCCAGGCTGAAAGCATGAGCAGTGCGCAGGCGCTCAGCATCAACTTGTTTCTGCAGACGTCTCCTTGCAGCAGTCGAGGTATGCCATCCTCGCCTAGCCGCCTTTCTTCGAGAGAGCAGGCGGCTGAAGTCAGAGCTTGAGGTACAGCTGTCTCAGAGAGAGTATGGAGCCAAGTCAGACATTCTCAGGCTCGGCGCCCATACAAAATTTTCTTGTGCCCCTGGAGGTGTTGCCCTCCCAGCGGTGCCGACCTGAATGGGGCTTGTTGGGAGCAGTCCAAGCAACTTTCTGTTACAGAACTTATAGGTCATGTATGTGTGTATGTCAGTACAGTATGGGTGTACCCATGTGTGTGTGTGTGTGCTTGTGTGTGTGTGTGTGTCTAGTTCAGGGATACATTCCCGCATATACGAATATACAGCTAGAGTATCCGTATTACGAGTTAATATACTAGTTATGACACTTTGCAGCAGGAGGCCGGCGCTTCCTTGTCCCTGATTGTCTGCTGACCCCAAATCCTAAACCCTAAACCCTAAACCCTTATTGTCTTCTGAGGCATGGCGATGCATGGCCGGAGCGACTGGGCCACGTGCCAAGGCCCTGAGCAAGCAGAGGGGTTAGGGGCTCAGGGACTCAAGCCCTACACGTGGGTAGTTTTCTAAATTAGGGTCCCTTTTTGGGTCCTTATTATAATACGGCACCTATTATTTAGGGTACCCCAAAAGGGACCATAATTTTGACAACTACCCACGTGTAGCCTCTGTTGTAGTTCCTAGCTTTGGGGTTAACCAACTTGTATTATGGGATCCTGCTGAAACCATGGCAAGTTAACCAAAAGCGGAACTACAGGTAGGGCCCTGAACTTCCCTAGACAAGAAAACGAAGCACCAAAACTCCACATTCCAACAGCCGGAGGACAGTGCATTCGCACTTAAGTCGTCGAGCGGATCCCATACCCTCAGACAGCCACGAATCCTGGCCATCGACAGGAGCTACCCTCAGCAGTCTGAAAGGTCCATACTCGTAGCAATTAGAGCACAGGAAAACTAGGCTGAGGAAGCGATCTGCGGAGACTTCGTACCTGCTGGACTCCAATCTATGCGTGACCGGTTTCGCGTTCGACTTTCGAAGTCTTTGCAGCAGGTATTCAACTTCAGGATTCAAGAGGCCCAGTCCCGCAACCCCGATCTCCAAATCCTTAAATACCTCCATTCCGTCTGAACACGCACCCCTGAGAGGCTCGTTGGCCTAGATCCTGTTCGTCCTCCCTCCGGGGAGGCTTCTGCAAATGGGGATGGCTTCTAACTGTTGGGGTTTGGTGGCTGAACTTCGGCTTAGCCCTACAACCCACACTTGCGACCTACACTCGCAAACCACGAAGGCCGAAACACTAGACCCATGCGCAGCGAGCAAATCATGTCTTGGGATGTGGGTTCTGTATGATGCAGTAGGCTGAAGCAGATGCAAGCCGCTAAAGCCATGAATCTTTGGCTGAGGGGATTTCGCGAGCATCGTAACGTTGCACCTGGGGGCCGAGGAAGCTCCAAGGGTTTGGGTTGGTCCGTCTCTTCCAGGCATTCACTAAGCCATGCCCAGGATTCTGATCGAATGCAGACATGCAGAGGTATGCAACCAGGATCCGTTTCGCTTGTGATTTAAGGGATACTTGGGGCCTCAGAGAAAGTCCTGAAGACGCGGACATGCCGGCCCGGAATGTACTGCACTTCTACAGCAAGCTCCTGCATGAATCGAAGCATTGAAGCCGAGCAAGCACCGGACTCGGGAAGTGGGTGAAGCCCATAAATGTCGGTTCCTTACTGCGGCTGTGAAGTAGGGGCTTGAGAGGCGCCGCCTTCATGGCCCTCGTCCTCCTCACGCTTGCCTTCAGCCTGCGACCCAGTGAAGGGACTTCTGCACGTCCAGAATTCGATTTGGCCCGACATCTGAATTAGACATGCAGGGACTGTTTGCCAAGCAAAAGATGAAACAGCTCAAGCTTAATGCAACTATCTCCACAGTCTCCGCCTGTATTCGAGCTGCCTCGACAGCAGATTTACGTCTCGGTCCAAGTTTTAGCTTTGAGCCTTTTCGAAAGCCTGCTTTGCGGAATTTTGACCTCGGCCTGATCCTTCAGGGGGCGAGTGGCGATGGACACATAGCAACCGTGGTGCATGCGAGAGTGCCTGAGCCGCGAAAGACGTGGTCATTCAGAGTTGGGCAGAACTTCCCGATGATGAAGCTTTCCTCGATCACATGACCTTGCACCCAACGGTAGTTGCTTGCATTTAATGCAAGAGGCCGAATTGAAAAGCACAGTGACAGTTGACTTTTGAACCAACCGCCTTGGGCTTTAATTTTAGGCTTCTGTGCAGTTCTTGGTTGTGCAGCCGGACGATGCCTGGAGGCTCTGTATCGAGCCCTATGACCGTCGTGCGGGGGCGCTGATCATGAACATGCCTGATGCTTCACTCGAAGAACACTAGGCTGTAAGCATGGTGTAGCGAGAGCACTTAGCGATACAGCGCGATCGATTGCTGTAGCCCCTGCTTCCTCAGATAGCTCAGGGGCTTGTCGGCATGCCAGGGCACATGCTATCCTCATCCCATTCAAGAAACTTACGACACGATCTGTAACTGCTAAGGCACGCTGGGCCGCAAAGCACAAAGGCAGCCGCTACACCCTGACCTCTGGAACCTCCTGTCCTGCTTTGATCTAGCTACCTAGTTACTGCCTAGTTCCGGAAGCTGGTCTAACGAGGTGCTGTCGCCCTCGCTGCTTGAAGCTGGGCTGCAGAGGGCATCACCCACCTTCGGCTAGGGAAGCGTAGGGTGCTTTGATTTTGCAGGGTGCTGCAGTGGCTTAGCCAAGATGCTGATGAAGTCTTAATCGGCCTCTGCCAATGGCTCGGACAACCCCAGTCCTCCTCCGTCCTTTTGCTACCACCCTCGGCTTCTGCTATTGAAGCCCAAGCTCTGTCTCCATCTTCACCTTCAAGGTGATGGTGACACGAGGTTTCCCAAACTGTCGGACCGAAACCCTCCAACGATGAAACCAACCAGGGGAGTTTGGGGGTTTTGCGAAGCTCCGGGGCACCAAACCTCACCTGCGCTCGTACAGTGTGTGACGAGACACTCATATATGGGCATTAGTGAATAGAATAGGGCTTTTGGGGATTATTGCACAATATATATATATATATATCTATATATATATATATATACATATTTATTTAAATACACACATATATGAATGTAGGGTATATACATGTGGCTCTGGGTCTTGAACACATTCGACTGGCTTGGGCCTGTGTTTGAGGACTCACCGGGGCCAGGGGTGAGGCGCACGGGAGTTCTCGGCCCTTTCGTGATGTGTGTTTCTGGGGTAGTTTTGGGTCAGAACTGCAAATATGGGATTGACGGTTCTTGTAAACAAAGATAAGCGCTTGGAGGTTTGGGGAATTTTGGGGATTGCTTGAGATTCTTTCGCGAAGGTGTCTAGGGCCAGGCCCCGGGACATTGGATTCCAAATCCAGGCGCTCAACGCTCGAACTTGCCAGATCTGCCACTTCTGAAAGCCCAAACCTACTGGCCGGAATTCTTGAGCGCCTCAGGTCGTACTCCTTGCCGGCATTTAGCTTTTGCCCGTAAGCGCCTGCAACTGTGTGGAGGCACCTGGATCCGGCTTCTGGCCAGGACCCCGGCTATGTCTCGGGCAAAGCGGTTCTTGGGGCCGAGGGAGGTCAGGCTCAGGGCTGGGGCATCTTTGCCGATTCACTGAGCTTTCCCGCACCCTGCACGCTAACCCTACACCCAAACTCTCGACGTCATCTACATTCTTGTTACATGGATTCAATTGGGAAGATGTCGCTCTTGCCAAGGCTCTCGCGAGAGCGAATCGCAGAGAGCCTCAACCCTGGCTGTTGAGATCTACAGTGAAGGATGATAAAGCCAATAGTCATGCTGATTGTAGAAGTGACGTCATTGGTAGATGTGTTGTTTGTGGGTTTGTCGTCGTGTTTTTCGTAGTGATGACGGTGGTGGGTGGTTGTAGCGGCGAGCATTGAGAAACGTCATAATATATGCCTGGGCATGGCTCCTTTAATTTAGAACATCATATTATGAGCAGTAGTAACAACAGCCATCAGAACCGTCAAGTACAGGACGCTGGTTTTGATAGTCATACACTTCGTCATTTGTTGATCAAGGAGAATAGGCAATTATTCTCCCTCCTGACCTCCTCTCCTGCGACTAGTAGGTGGTAGTAGTAGTAGTAGTAGTAGTAGTAGTGGTAGTAGTAGTAGTAGTAGTAGTAGTAGGAGCAGCAGCAGCAGCAGCAGTAGTAGTGGTAGCAGTAGTAGCAGCAGCAGCAGCAGCAGCAGCAGCAGCAGCAGCAGCAGCAGCAGCAGCAGCAGCAGCGGTAGCGGTAGTGGTAGTGGTAGTGGTAGTGGTAGTGGTATTAGCAGTAGCAGTAGCAGTAGCAGTAGCAGTAGCCGTAGCGGTAGCGGTAGCGGTAGCGGTAGCCGTAGCCGTAGCGGCAGTGGTAGCCGTAGCCGTAGCCGTAGCCGTAGCCGTAGCCGTAGCAGCAGCAGTAGCAGTAGCAGTGGCAGTGGCAGTGGCAGTAGCAGTGGCAGTAGCCGTAGCAGTAGCAGTAGCAGTAGCAGTAGCAGTAGCAGTAGCAGTAGCAGTAGTAGTAGTAGTAGT